AAACTCCTGCATTTTTAAAAACAAGTGCCATTAATAATGGACTCTGTAATGATAACTATATGAAATAATGTATATATTAACTCGGTTTAGCCCTTCTACAGTATATACATCAAAACGTGTATATGATAATATATATGTAGTTTTTATTCTGTCAAAAATAAATTTTTTAAATATGGAATGCTTAACAGAAGCCTAGAACAATGTAAAGAGAAGTATCTGGCATTTGAAAAATGTAAAATAATGACACGTCAAAAAGAAAGCAACATTTGGTACTTTAGAATTACATTGTTTTTGCCAAAATCTTTACCATTATGTCCCTGATGAAGCATATTGATACAAAGTGGGAGGACAGGTTATATAGAAGTTTAATTTCAGGAAAAGGCTAGCTGAAATTTAAAATTTTTAAGGTGTTTACAATGTGAAATCATGTTGGATTTGCTAATTTACTTTATTACACCACCGCCCTTATCCAACACTCCCGAGTCCAGTCACAGCAGCTCCTTCCCCCAGGCTTGGGGGTGGGGCACTTTGACTTCAGTGCTCCCACAGTGACAAGCCTTAAGGGCTGCCCCCTGCTGCCAGCCCCTGGGCACCGACTGCCAGACCTGCAGTGGATGTCAGAATTAGATCCTGGGACTGGGGACATCAATTCTGCTAGCCGATCCTGATCGCATCATTAGTGAAAAGAAGCAAGCTACCAAATTGCCTTTTAAAGACCACCACCAGTCATAATTAGAAACTTGAAATTTTGTAGCAGTCGTGTTTAATGGTAGCAGTTATAATCAGTGAATGTGAACACACTATCTGTGCTTGTGTCTCTGTCTTCAGTTACAACTGCCTTTGCCAGACTAGCATTAGAAGTTTCTAGATTAATAGTTATTTACAAAAAAGGGGTGGGAACTTTATCACTGTTACCCTCCTTGCTATATTTTAAGTTAACTGTCTTTGCCCCCAATTAGTGGATTTTATGAGTAATCCTATAAAAACCTCTTAATTTTAGTGCCCTGATAGGATAAATTATTTGCCTACTTTCACAGTTTGGAACTTGGAAAGAAGCAGAATATGTAACTGAGCCATGGTCATTCTTATTGCTTCTCTTCTGTGAGCTCAGGTGGAAAGTGGGCGGAGAAACAGCCCAGCATTACGTCACCACCTAGACCTGCTCTGCACCACTTCCTGCCCTTGTGCCAAAGGCAGAGGCTATGTTTGCACCTTTTTCTAGTTCTCAGGTTAATTAATACTGCTAATACAAATAGTAGTAGATCCTTTAAACTACAAAACAGATTCAGTGATGCTTTCTTTTCAAAGCGGTAAACTCATCAACTGCACAGAAGAGCTCATCCAGAAGGTAGTCAGTGAACTGATGTGGTCTCCTGAGATGTGAATATGAAATCATAATTTTACTTGCCTTTCAATGCACTGAATAATTTGAAGTGATTCACTGACACTCTGGCTTATGCTGGATAAATTCTTAGGAAACAACTCTGCCACAGCTTAAAATGTTTACATTGTCTCCTATAGCCTAGCCAGGTGACATTCCTCTTTGAGACCAGCTCACCGGACCGATGGAGCGTTTCTCTGGAGGTCCAGTAGGGCAGTTCCTGTGTGTTGATGTTAGAGGCCTTTTCTGCAGTCTCTGTACAGCTGAGCCTTAGGTACTTAATTCCCTTAGGAGAATTAAGCTGCCAAGCACAGGACCTGGCACATAGCACTCACTGAAGGACTGGCTGTTATGGGATGGCCCGGTTCTGGTGTAAGGAATGTCATTTGGGTGTGCCCTGTGCTTCTAAGTATGCAAAGTAGTCCTAAACCTGTTAAACTTGAACATCAAAGGGAAGCCACATTAGAGACCTCAAGGATCCAAGGCCAAAGCTGTTTCTTAGAAGCTTTACTAGCTTGTTAACTCTGAATCTAAAGAGCGAACCATTTGCTTAGCTTCCATAACTTCAGTAAAACATTACTATGACAAAGATCATCATCTATGGCACTGAAGAATGCGTCCGCCAAGACACTGAAGTTGCTTGGTGTATAGTTGGCGAAAAGGTCTACTGTAAGCTTGGAGAAAATGTAACTGACTAGGATATTAAGAACTGAGTGTCGCCCCATGCCCCCATGTGTATACTTGGGCATGGAGGGAAATCACTTGTATCTCAGCTCTGTGTACCCTGCGGCTGTTTAACGGGCTGACTGCTGCTGTCTTCTTGCTGGTGGAGCCCACTCCTGTGCTGGTGTGGCGGGCAGCCACTCCGCTGGGTCATCTAGGTTTGAACGTGTGTCACTGTCACTACGTAGGGGAGTCCGGGTGTATCTGTTTAGTGTAGGTAGAATATGCAGTGAACTTGGTCAGCTTTTCTTTGTCTTTTTTAGCAAAACTAGTCATCAATTTAGGTCCAATTAATTGAGTTGACAGTCTACTGTGAGATGACGTGTCTACTGTGACAATAGCAAATGACTGTTGGAAAACTTTCATACCCAAGTGTGTTTTCTACTAAGATAAGAAAGACACATGTGCGTGCACATCACAGCTCTCTATTAGGGAATTAATGTGAATTTAAAAATGGCAATCATGTCTGTCTTTTTTTTTTTAAAGAGCATCCACTCCTAGAGAGGGTTTACAAAAGCCACTAAAAGGAAGTAGATGAAAATACAGAGAGGGTTGGGTCTGTTTTAGGGCTTTTGTTTTTGTTTTTAATTTTAAAATTCCCAGTGCTACTTTGAGAAGAGAACTGATTTTATTACTACGTGCTTTTTGTGACTGGAAAGTCATCCAATAGAAGGAGTTAGTAGCCACTTGGTTTTTCCTTCTGTGGTGCTGGGAACCGAACCCAGGGCCTTGCACATGCTAGACAAGCGTTCTAGCGCTGAGCTACATCTCCAGCCTGGAAGCTCCCTTTTAATTGCTGGCAAACAGCTTTAAGTGCACTTTCTTTGATTACACTTCCATTTTTGTTAAACTTGAATTTTCTGAAGCCTTTTATGTACCACTAAGCAAATAACTTTAATCTTTAAAAAAAAAACGGATTTATATCTTTAGTTATGTTTCTAATTGTTATAAAACATACTTGCTAAAGTAACTTAAGTCCTCAAGTGTAGTTGGGAAACTTATGAAATAGAATTCAGTTGCTTCCCCGTACCCAGTTAAGCACTAATTTTATTACCTTATTGCCTTTACATTGCTTAGTCTCGAATTCTGTTCACTATTTTGTTTGAGATTTAAAGTTATTTTCTTACTGTATTTATCATACCTACTGTTTTAATAATCTGCCTTCTTTAAATGCAATAAATCCCAAATGGATTGCTTATTCTTTATAATCAATGCCTTTGGAGTTTTTTTTTTTTTAAATTTGTCTCATTAAAAGTTTCATTATAAACCTACTTAGTTCTTTCATTCTCACCATAGAGTCTGTCTCCATTATGCACTCTGCTCTCAAAGAGTTCATGGTTCAGGATTTAAAAAACTGGACGTGGCCTCATTCTTCTGCAGTAGTCCCTAGCAGGACTCCTTCACCAACAGTGACTGGAAGGTCAGAACACCATGTCTTAGAGTGCCTTCTGAATTAACTTGTCTGGCATCGTTTTTAATTTGTAACTTGTTTTTTCAATTGTAAAAGGCTGTTAGCATCAACAATATTTGACTAAGTATTTTAGCTCCTGACTCTGTCAGAGAAGAGGCTTTGGTATCTCCATGAGATGGCCTGTGTGTTAGATTGACGACAGAGTTGTAGTGTTATCTGAGAACGCAATATTCCACAGTCTGGAGTCTGGATTGGTGCCTTGTGACAGTTTCTCAGTCTTGAATAAGGTTCATTTGATTTGGTGTGAGTGGACTTCTGTTTTGAAGTAGTAACCAGTGCAAAGCAGCCACTGTTTAGATTTGGTTATAGTTAATCTCTCTAAAGAGGAACATATAGTGCTATTTGAGCTATTTATTTTCAATAACTCCTGTTTAGGAAAGGGCAATCAAGCATCACGTGTGGCATCCTTAATTCTCATATTCACAGCATGATCTCTGAAAACTGTTGCATGTTAAGAAAGCACATAGGGCTGGCACAGCTGGGATTACCTGCACGCCGGGCAGCAGTCTGATGCCACAGAGGTGGAGCCGGATGAGAGCCTTGGCGGCTGTTCACATAAGCTGGGCAAGGGTACGGAAGTTCACTCCTCAAGGGGGCCTACTATTATTTCTCTCCTTTCAGGAAAAAATTCTCAAGGTTAAGTTTCAGTTCCAGATCATTCATCACAGCACAGACACACAGCAAAGTCTCCTCAGGGGACCCGAGTGCTTTAGTGTCTACATTTCTCCTCAGTGCAGATGCTGAGGTGACAGTGCACACGGAAGACCCCCCTGCCCCTTCCCGCACAGCCCAGCTGCTTCACACTGCAGTGTGGAGTTAGAAGAAAGGATGCTTTTTGGGTGGGTGTGGACGTCCTCAGAAACTGGCAGGAATCCAGACGTGCGGGCCTCTAACACAGGCAGGGGATATCTCTAGAACGTTCTTGACAAGTGGAGAACTGTACAGCTCTATGCTCGGCAAGCACAGTCTTCAAACTGGATCCTCTGTCCAGTGGGATCATAAGCTGTGACAGTCCCTGGCTCATCATTTGACCCTCAAATGTGATTTAGAGCTGTAACGCATCACAAAGAATGACAAGCAGCCCACGTTTAGTAAACCCCGTTTATTTACATATGCACACTTGGCCATGCAGCTACCAAACTGCACCAACATAAGCCAAAGAGATGAAACAGCCTTGCTGTTTGAAAATGGCTTTATAGAGAAAAAGGACTGCTTATTGAGTTAACTGAATCTCTATAAATTGTTATGATTTAAAACAGCCAGAGATAGTTTAAAAATGTAGCTTTTGTAGTTTGTATATAGGTAAAAGTAAGACTGACTTTTTAAAAAAAATACTGTAGCTGGAAATACAATTTTCAACCTATTTTAATAAACTGATAAAAAACAAAAATAAATATACATTATTACAAAGCTCAGATTTGTAAGTAGTTGTCAAATATTCTTTAATGTGATAATTAAACTTTGTATCAGTAGTGTTGTGCACACAGTAGATGGTCAATAAATGCTGACATACATAAGTGTTTATAGTTGACAACAATCCACAGTCAGTCATTCCTTTACAATAAATAATTATAAAGATAAAAGACGAGGATAATAATTATAATATCAAACATTTTCAGAGAATACAGAATAACTGTCCCTACAATCAGAACTATTCAAAGAAAAGTTATTTAAAAACAAAGTATGCTCTTTTTATGTGTTACACATACAGCAATTATTACAGAATTCATGTACAAAAAGAAACCAGGCATTTCCAGAAAGTAAAACTGGGCATGGTGGCACACCATGGGAGGCAGAGGCAGGTGGATCGCTATGAGTACAAGGCCAGTCTAGTCTACATAGCAAGTTCCAGACCCACCTAGGCTATAGAGTGGGACCCTGTCTGAAAAAAGAAAAAAAAAATTAAAAGACTTGGAATTATTTCTTTTGAGAAGAGTTCAGAATAAAAATGGCTCCACACCTAAAGTTACTGGACTTTCCTCATTTTTTACTTAAAAACTACTTAGTATATTTATTCTGGCCAAAATGATAAAATGTGTATTCAAGAGCCACGTAAGCCAATAATGGATTTTTTTGAGAAATATATTCAACTTTTGTTATGTTCAGATCATCTAAAGTTGAGCATGAATTGAATTTGTGTTCTAAGATACAACAGCCACTTTGAAAGTAGCATTCCATCATCACTATGGTTATGAAATGGTGGCCTTCACTGAGCCCACTGGGAAAAAAACGTCTGATGTACTAGCAAGGGAAATTTAAATTCCCAAACCACTACACTACAAGGAAACGCCCTGCAGAGGCATACACTGGGCATATCAATTTTCCTAATACTGGATGTAGAAAGTGCATTTAGGGAATGAACATCAATGTAAAGAAAAATGTTATGATATATTAGTTAATTCCATTTTCCTGAAAATATGCCAGTATTTAAAATAGCTTGTGAACTTACTAAGAAACTTAGGTCATACCTTATATTTCAGTGGACAATGGAAGTTTTTATGAATACTATGAATGATTTAATTTATGCATTTGGCAAGACCAAGGAATAAAAGTTATGCTATCTGACAGGGCAGTGGGATCTACAGTTAACAGGACTAATGCTTCAGCTCTGAAGTGCACATGATGTTTATATACATGTTTAAGTTGTCAATGAAATGTCAGTACAAGTATAAGCAGGCCTGGAGCAGCGGTGAATAATCTCACTATCAAATGAGACATCTGCATGACTTCTAAGGCTTACGGTTCATTCACGGTCAAGACAGGGCCACTCAGATCTCATGGCCTTCAAAGTAGCACCCATAGAGTTTTGAACTCATCATCATGAAACTTAGGACTAGAGTTAGAGATGAAATTTCTTTGGGAAAGCTGGAATCAAAATTCACTGTCAGGAATCTGGTATTTAATATGGAATTAAATAATACTTGGAATAAAATTAGGTAGTTGATAATTTGGCTATCAGACCATGTGTTGCTCTGTCATGTCCCTAGTTTCCAATCTAATATATTTTTTAAAATAGCAATGCATGTTTCTTTTCTCAATACCTTTCTCAAAAGAGGAATTAAAATTTTTTTTTGTTAGCAAACTTAAAAAAAAAAATCAAATGTTCCTAAGGAGAAGAGAATCTGGCTAAGGGAAATTACTCAGGGGCCAGTTTCTCATGAGCTGTACAGGAGGAAGGCTGTGATTATTCAGCAGCACACTGAGCTTGGAGTAGCACAGGCTATAGCAACCCTTGCCTTGAAGAGGCAAATTTGGTCATTTAATGAAAACGTCTCCTATTAAAGTAAGCATACAGGATGCCTCCACTTATTACAGACAGGGGCTGTTCCTAAGAAAACAAAGCTGGTCTTATGTAGACTGCACCCCATTTTTAGAGCAGTCTCACACCCACATCCATGTCTCAACATGTCTAACTTTCACCGTCTGCACAAACATCGAATCATAGTTGCAAGGGTCAAACACAGTTCTTACTACAGATCCCACTATATTTCCCCATTTTTATAAACCATTATGACTCATTAAATAAGAAGAAAAGGGGAAAAAAATAAACGGGAACCTTAGAAATAGTGGAGTCTAAACCCCCCACGGTATATTGCTCAATGACTGGATTCACCGGGTGGCCATACCTGAACTTACAGGTGCGGACCGTGGTCAGGGCAAGGCTTGCTGTGTCTGTACTGCATGACATACACTGTTGACTGGTGCCACCAGTATAACATCACTACTGCCAGGACGTGCCAGATCTGGTGGCTTGATCCGAGGTAGTTTAGCTGTCCTGGAAGGGAGCGAAGAAAGAAAGGCTGACACCATTATTTCAGTATTTAGAGACAAATACACGTCTACTCCTGGCTACAGACAGACTGCAGATGAATTCAGATTCAAATCTTTTCCAAGAGGGTGAACTCACATTTAAGGTTTTATTCCTGAAGTATGCAAGTGAATTTCAGAAATGCTGTTCCCAACGGTTTCTAGGAGAGATCAGGTGTGTTTGCCTGGTATGGCCTTAGACCCCCAACTTTATTTTTAAAATGTGGCTTGTGAGGGCCAATGAAATAGCTGAGGGTAAAGGCACCTGCCACCAAGCCTGATGGACCTGCTATCCCTCAGATCCACAGGACAGAGAAAGGGAACCCACAGTGGGAAACTGACCCTTGAGAGTTGTCCTGACTGCCACATGCACGTTGTGGCATGCAACCCACCCCCTAGGAGTGCACACGTGCAAGCACGCACGCACAATAAATGTGAAAAAAATTAACGTAATGTTTATTTTCATGAATTTGATCTTTTTTTTTTTTTTTCTCCATGTCTCAACATATTTGGTAGAATGGGGGAAAAGTTTTGTATGGAAGGCAAGAGACAGTGGTGATCAGGGCATGATTTAGGTATGGATCTGCCGGAGCAGACGCACTGTATGGCTCGATGTGGCCCTGGTAGGAGCACTTCTGTACAGGTGGGAAGGACTAATTAATCGAGATGTTTCCCGGTCACAAAAACCAGAGCCAGGACAACTACTAGCTGCCCCTTAACGTCCTGCGATGGCGGTGTTGTGTAAATACTCCTAAGCTCGCTTTTTCTTAGCAAGAAGCTCAATGGCACACAGGATTTAAAGTGTGAGTTGGCAGGATTCCTCCTGGGCAGGCTCTCAGCCTTTCGCTTGACTCCCAGTGAAAGCCTACAGATTCATTAAAAAACAACAACAACAAAAAAAGATGAAATATAAAAATTGTTGTCTTGTAATAAATAGTCCATTGATGAGCAGGCAGATCTACGGATCCACTGTGATACATGTTTGTTTTATTTTTGTTTTTGAAGATGCAGTCTCACTATGGAGCCCTCGCTGGCCTAGACTGTGTAGATCAAGGTAGGCTTGAACTCACAGAGCTGCCTGCCTCTGCCTCCCTAGTGCTAGGATTAGAGGCGTGCACTTTAACTACAGCTGTTTTTAGTTTTAAATTTCTTACCTGCTATTCAGTCTACACTGCCCATGTTTCTCATCCGTGGGAGAAGGTATATACCTAACATTAGAGACTACCTTTCCTAACACTTGAGCTTGCCCAGTGCCCATCCTCCACTCTCTGATGTTCCTGTACTCAGCCATACAGCTACATGGGCTCATGCTGAGATCACCCTGGAGAAAAGCTATGTAACACATGAACCTTTGCAAGTGTTAGAAAAGACAATTCTTTTTGTTTGTTTGTTTTTCGAGATAGGGTTTCCCTGTATAGCTTTGCACCTTTCCTGGAACTTGCTTTGTAGACCAGGCTGGCCTCAAACTCACAGAGATCCGCCTGCCTCTGCCTCTCAAGTGCTGGGATTAAAGGCGTGCGCCACCACCGCCCGGCTAGAAAAGACAATTCTTAACAGCTGGTTTGAAAATGGTAAGGCTAAAGCCACATGGCCGTTCTTACATAGTGTAGAGTAATTGTACTTGTGTGCAATAAAGAAACAGAATTCTATATGAATGTAATTATTTTTAATTTATTTTGCAGTGCTCAGGATTAAACTCTGAGCCTTGTGCATTCTAGGCAAGTGCTCTCCCACTGAGCTAAAATGATACAGAAACCTACCCAAATTGTGCATTTTCAGTGTGGGTTTATGTGCTGGTTATGTTCTCATGTCCTGATGGCCACACACACAGGTTCTCACTGCATTCCATTTGTTCTGGAAACCCAGTGACGAAAAGACAATGCTTGCAGGCTCGTCCTCTAGACTGCCTCCTCTCCAGAGCATGTGAAGAAGGGTCCCCAGCCATCTCTAATTCATCATGGAGGTGATTCTTCCTCTTAGGGGAACATGTGAACACAGCCCCACGCTCCCTGCAACAAATGTCAGTCCTCCACATGTGGGCAAGTCAGGACTCAGCATGCCCACAGTGCAAGGGACATGCCCTGGCCTTGGGAAACTACCTTCATGCTCCTGTGTCTCCCCTGACCAAGCACCACGGAAGTGAATTTTAACCCAGGAGGGAGGGACGGATTTGCAGCCTAGATTGAAACCGCGTCTTGATTCAGTCTTCCAGACTTAAGTCACCGTAAGTTCTCTAAGTGTTACTCTTGAGTCAGGCTAAAGCTTCCCTGGACTTCATGCTTCCCTTTATTTAAACCTAATACTTCCACGACCAAGATGGCGCGGTCCCTCACTGAGTGCTTACTGCCCGACTGGGACTGTGCTGATCCAGGGGTTCTGTCATCTAGCCCTCATGGGAACCCCGGAAGAGAAGTACTCCAGCTTGTTTCAGATGTGAAAGCACAGCTTGGTGAGCATGGGCCACGACTAAGGGGCTCCTGTGGCTTTAAACTCGGGCAGTCTAACTGCAGATGCAGTGCAGGAGAACACGCTTTGGAGAAGTTTGCCCACCATACCCAGTGTCCTCTGGGTGTTTTTCACCAGAGCTCCCCAATGCTGGACTGAAGAAGAGAGATCTTCCTCCTGCTGAGAGTGGCGCCTGAGTACCCTGGAGCAGTGAAGAGAGTTCACCCTAACGGTGTGTGAGGAAGCTCAGAGCCAGATTGTTTGCCTTGAGCTACTGGGCAGAATCTGTGTGAGGCACACAGGCCCCTCGTATCCCGAAGGATACATTCTAAGATCCCTCAGTGCATGCCCAACACTGCAGAGTGCTCCATCCTATACATACTACCTTTCCTATATGACTACCGACAATAATGTTTAACTACACATCAGCTCTAGGAAGAGATTAAAATACAACAACGATAACATATACTATGATGGAAGTTTTGACTGGTTTTCACTCTGGAGTGGTTTCCTTTAGGCAACTGAAATTACAGATCGAGCCCCGACGTACAGAAAAGTCGCTCTACACCTGTCTTCTTCTTACTGTTCCTGTGTCCTTGCTTCTTGCATTTCTTTACTTTATGTATCTCTGCATATAAAAGTTACTCTCTAAGAACAAGGTGGTATGGACGGAGGAGAATGGGAGCTAATGCTAGTGCCCCATGTTAAAAAGAACAGGGCCAGGAGTCACATGATCCTCAGTCACAAGCTCATAATTGTACAACAGTGTCAGCCCCAACCCCTGGGGGTTGACTCTATTACTGTGAGCGTGGTGGGAAATGTCTCTAAAGCCCCTTGAAATTTAAAGTTATGTTTTTTTTTTTTCTTTGTTTCTTGTTTTGTAAGACAGGATTTCTCTACATAGCCCTGGCTGTCCTAGAAGTCACTATATAGACCAGGCTGGCCTCAAACTCACATAAATCTGCCTGCCTCTGCCTCCTGGGTGCTGGGACTAAAGGTGTGCACCATCATGCCTGGTGAAAAAGTTAGAGATATTGCTTAGGAATGGAAGAATCATTCCATAATGAACACTGAGAAACAATCTAAATTTTGATTCTCAGAAGCATTTACTTCAAATGTGTTTTCGGAAGAAAGCTACAAAAGCGTGGTGAACAGGGACCTACCTGGGAAGTACCGTTCTGGAACTTTGGAAATGTAGAAGAGGAAAGCCAGAAGAGCAATCACGTACATCACTACTACTCGGGGTGCGAAGTCCTGGAAAACAAAGAGGGTTGGCTTGGATTTTCCCAGGGCTCTGAGATCTCCTAGAGCTCAGAGGCAGGATTTAAAGACTGCCAAGTCTCAGTTATCCTGCTGATGGTCTCCTGTTCTCATCCCACAGCAATGGAGCGTAGTGATGGCCTCAGAGGCCAGCTACTTATGGAGCTGGAGCTGGTGACAGTCCTGAGACTGCCCAGTCCCTCTACCAAGTGGCTACAGAGTGTCATGTGTGACGAGAGCCCAGTCAGGAGAGCTCAAGGACAGAACAGCGTCCTGCATCCCAGAGAAATGCCCAAGCATTGCTACACGAAGCATTCCATCTCTCCGCTGGTGTGTGGGCCTCCGGGACTTCCCAACTCCAGAGCACATACACTGTTCCTAACCCTGGTCACAACCCCGCCGCATTTAGCAACAGTTCATGTAAGAAATGAAGACAGCTCCTCTCTTCCTTTTCAAGTGTGTGAGATGACCTTGGCCTTCTCCAACTCTGTATTCATCAGTCTGAGATTCCTAACCATTCTAGAACATACCTTCACCCATCTGCTCGGTTAACCCACCCGGAAATCTCATCTTTAGGAGGGGCATCTCTACCCAACTTAAAAAGTGAGAGCTTTTGAGTGGATTTCCTCAGACTCCCCTTTGCTTCCTCACTGGAATCACAGGTGATCTCACTAGAATTCTATTTTCAACACCACTCTCTTTTTATGCCTGTTTTCTAAGTCTTGTGAATATAGGAATATGCAAATTTTCCTAAAATCTGTCAACTCTCAAGTTCTTGTTCTTCTTATCATTATAAGCTGACTGTAACTTACCACTTCTAAAATGAATCCCTTCTGTATCAGCTACCAGTCATTCTTTTCTAATTGGAATTAAATTGCAGATAGCAGCTTCTCATTCTACTGTCTTATTCTTGGGGGCCCCAAATACCGGAGAAACGGTGTCTTCCTACGCAGCAAGACAGCTGCGTCCCTCCTCACTCATATCAGCTTGGTCACCTTCCTGCTCTTATGAAGAGAGTCCAACTCTCCCAGGTGGACCACGCCACTCATCCCACTCGGTCACAATCCACCTTCCTTCTCACTGGTTTACCAGTGTTTCCTCTAGGCCACGGGAAAGCAGGCCTCCTGACAGGCCTTCCTCTTTCAGTCAGCAATTCTCCTGAGGTGACAGCAGACTCCACTAAAGTCCAGACAAGCGGCGCTGTGACAAGGGAGACTCACACCAGCTTTCCTGGCAGACTGACTTAAATATGTTCAAGCTCTCTCTAGAGCACACACTTGGAGCCTTTTATAAGAATTTCTACGAACACAGAAATCTGTGTTCCTCAGGAAGACAGAGCCCTCCTGGAGTTCTTCCTCTCACATATCACCGTCTCCACAGCATCTGGATCAACAGAATCAACAGCTCTCCCTTTACTGCTCATCTTACTGTTCTGGGTGGGTGGAGCCCCCTCCTCCAGTTCCAGCTACTGCCAAAGACTTATCCCCCGTCTCCAACTCTATCCTCTACTTTTATTTCTGTCCCTTACATATCTCCGACTCAACATGTCCAAGCATAACTTCTTCAATTCTTCATCCGGTACCCTCAAAAGAAACCAGCTGCTCCCATTTCTGTACCCCGGCAGCAGACAAAACACTTCTGTATCACTAGCGCAGCAGACAAAACTGCAAACTCAGAGTCCTCCCCAGAAATGACATGAGTACTTGTATACTGAGATGGAAAAAGAATGATGTTATTTCATACAGTGACTCATCAGAAATGAGTAGAGACTAACTTACGGTTTTGAAGGTATATGCTCATTTATACAGCTGCGAAGAAAACTGAGTTTCAATATGCAACTAAAAACATGCTCCCAAAGGACTCAGAGCTACCCACGTAGCCTCACAACACCACTTTAAGGGAGAAATGAAAATGAAGGACAGAAAAATAAAGAAAAATACTGACCATACTCAGCCTACCTGTACAATAGGAGCACTGATTCCTCCATTGAGCCAAACCCAGTGAAGAGTAGGGATCACGCCGTACCCCGAGACAGAACAAAAGATGATGGGGCGGAGCCTCTGCCACTGTTGTGTGAGGTAATTGGGATGGATCTGTGCGAAGAACACTGCCAGGATCATTGCAAGCACGGTGATCAAGTACACCTGACGCCAATACTGGAAGGAAAGGAGGACAGTCACCTGGGCGTCCACAGCAGGCATCGCAGGCCCTGCTTACTTGGCTTTAATGTCCAACAAGGTCCCCCATCCTCTTCTAAAGAATGTTCCATACGAATGCTAAGTGTTTGAGCAGTTTCTTAGGATGACACCCAAAACTGAGAGTGAACTGGTAAAGGAACCCACTTTTCCGTACAACAGCGCGTTCTGACCACCTGAGCTATGCAAGGCACAAGGCAAGTGCTGTAGGAACAAGGCTGCCTATGGCATGGCTCTCCAGTGGCTGGGCGCAGACTGCGGGAAGGAGGGCACCTCTGAGCACGCTGGTGTGATGGCAAGGCTGTGACTGAGTCACAGACAGAATGCTGAGGACCACGGAAGCACAAGAGACAACGTCTCAGCCGGGTACACAAACAGTGTGGGGAGAAGGCGCAGAGAGGACCAGGGAGGTCGGGAGAAAGGCGGCCGAAGGTGAGACTAAGACTGAACTCTGCCACACTGGGAGCTGCGGAAGAACAGGGCGGACGCTGGGTGTGGTGGCAGGGACCTGGAACCCAGAGTGTGACAACTGAGGCAGAAGTTCAGATGACAGACAGACATCAGGAGAGTCTATTCAAACAGAGGGCAGGGCTGGGATGAAGCGTGTGCTAGTGTGTGTGTGTGTGTGTGTGTGTGTGTGTGTGTGTGTGTGTGTATGCCTGTGCATATTTTTATACACACACACCCCACATCAGATGTAGGGGACATGTCTGATATAACAGAAAGTCTTACTAGCTGGCTGAGAGACGGCAGCTGAGGAAGGTTTGTCTCTTTCTAGCCTGAGTGGCCACATATGGCTTTCCTTAGAGGAAAGGAACACCGATGGTCCAAGTTTTGGGAGAGGAATAAAGGCAGCCTGGAAGACCCTTCACTAAGACATACTCAGTTCAAAGCCTGCTAAGGATACAGGAAGAGTGTATCAAATATTTAGTTCCTAAATGAATGCCTGAAAGCCGTCTAGGGCTCAAAAGTCAGCCTCACAAAGGGCAAGAGATCTTAACTGGGCTCGCAGGACTTCTGTAGAACTATTCACTTCTAGAAATGACCTGCCAGCTCGTGTCTCTTTCCGAGCCCAAATGTCCAGTTTCCAGTCTCATTCTCAAAGTGGCTTGTATCCCTTCAAAGGCAGGAGCCATTCCAGAGACTACATGCTTGGAGCTATGAGATGCCGGGGAGAAGAAAAGAGAGCAGGTCTTCTTTTCTGTAACTCTGGACTATTAACTCTAGGAGCTTTCTTCTCTCTTTCTAGTTGTTTTTTTAATTTTCATTTTTTATAAAATAAATACCCCATTTTGATGCTTAGAAAGAGGTAAACAGAAAATACAAGTACAGAATAAAACAGCAGTTTAAGTATGACTGCATAACAATCTTCTAGATAGCACATTTCCTTAATTTTCCTGTGAGGATGCAGAATCACACACAGAACAGTTCTGGGTAAACACAAACAGTTTTCTAGTAAGATCCAATCAATTTACACATTAATTGCACATATATTTAGTTATATACTATGTTATAATGTAACTAGGCCTGAAAAACAGGTAGTTAATAACGGTCCTAACATACTCAAGCCAATTTATGACTTTTTTCTTTGGTAGTTTAAATATATTTTTTATGTGTATTGTGCTTTGCCAGCATGTATCTGTGTACCATGTGCATGCCTGATGCCGCAGAGGCCAGAAGAGGGGAGTCGGAGGGTCATGAGCTGACATGTGGCTCTGAGATCAACGCTTGGTCCTCTGGAAGACTTTAAGTAAGTTTTATAAACCAAACACCCTAATGATTTTCTCTCTCACCGTGTAGAGACCAGGACCCTGCTTAGAAGCCTTAACAGAGACTCCTGGCCTGCAGTGTTCTCACAGTCTGGGGAGAGGCCTGCATCTGAGCGGACCCACACACAGGGAGGGGAGGCTTGGGCAGGGCACACTCTGTTCACAGAGAACTACAACTCCGAGCAGGCGTGCTGCTCCTCGAGGAAAAGCATAGTTTGGGCTCTGAAAAAGGGGTAAGATGAGAAAAGGAAAATAGAAAAGTGTAACGGGAGAGCAAGGTTGAAGGAACTTCTCTTTCACTGTTTTGAGACAGGGTTTCGCTTGTGTAGCTCAGCCTGGCCTGGAAGCTGAGATCCCTTGCCCCCCAACCTGAGTTACACAATTATATACACATGCTGCTACATTCTCTGTGTGCTGTATCTGCGTACTTATAGTCATACTTTCCACCAGAAAATTAACGAAATACTCTGGAACCGGTAATAGATATTAGAGATCACTTTAGAAAGTGAAGTGTGTGCCCGAGCAAGACTCTTCTCTTTGTAAGCAAAGCATGCGTTCATAGACTTAAACGACTGCAGGAGAACCCAAATCCTATATAAAAGGTAGAGGGTGCAAGTTCTAAACACTCACATTATTACAGTAAAATGCATAAAATACTCCGGAGACATAGCAGCCCAGTATTCCGATAGAAATCCCTGCATAATCCAATGCCATCCATCTTCGACAAGTCTTTTCCGACCGATGACAGGAGAAGAGATGATAGCCCACGGAGCAGAGCATACAGACCTACAAGGGGAAAGGCAGACTTTAAGAACGAAGTGAGACAAACAGAAATCAGAGGAACTCATAAATGCTCTTCTGAGCTATGGTTAAGATGCCAGGCTTTCACGTCAGGGACACTTTAGTTGGGATTCTAGCTGGGTACCTCACCACAGGGCAAACTGCCACTAAACTTCATGGGTTCATCAGGAAAATGGGGACCACAATCACTAGAAACTTAAAAATTATAATTATTTTAAAATATAAGACTGTAAATAAATAGCAAAAAATTATATGATGAAAATATGTTTTTTAATACAAATCCTTTCATAATACCTCCTAAGGCTACTCTGATTCATGAATGAGTTTATTTTCATATCAGTCACTAAATTAACATAATCCCTTAATAAAAATTGAAGGATAAAGAATTGTATACTGCAAAAAATATATGCCCCTCTCATTCAATCTATTCCTTAGAGTAACTACTGATTGCTGTGGTATATCTTACTGTATGCTGTGAATATATATGGCTCCCATTGGATAATAAATAAAGCCATTTTGGCCTATGGCAAGAAAGCTTACAGCCAGGTGGGAAGTCCAGGCAGAGACACAGAGAGAAGAAGAGCAGAGTCGAGAGAGACACCAGCCTCTGCCAAAGGAGCAACAAGATGCCTGCAGACCGGTAATGTCATGGCCACGTGGCAACATATAGATTAATAGGAATGAGTTAATTTAAGATGAAAGAGCTACCTAGCAAAAAGCAGAAGCCATAGGCCATACAGTTTGTAATTAATACAAGCCTCTGAGTAATTATTTTATAGATGGCTACAGGACCACAGATGGGAGAGACTGCAGAGCAAGGTAGGACCGGAGAAATTTGCAGCTACAACTGATAATATATTATATGTCCCTGTAACACGTATGTTCTAAGGACCTGTGATACATATGTCTATACATAATAACTACTTTAATCAAGTGGACTTGTTATAATTCTAGTCTATAATGTGCTTTCCTCTTCTTGATGAGACAAAGTCTCACTATGCAGCCCCCATTGGTCTGAAGCTAAGTAAACCAGACTGGCCTGGAGCTCAGAGGTCCCCTGCCTCTGTATCCCTGGTGCTGGGTTTAAAGGTATGTGCCACCATACCTGGCTGCAATTTGCTTTTTTAACTTGAAGACTACAGATTACTTCTAAATAAATATGGCTTTATTATATCCATGAAAAATAATGTGTCTACGTCTTCCAAATTGACAGCCACGATGGGGATGCGGACAGCTGTTCTGAGGACGGGTACGGCAGGTGATGCGGACAGACAGTTGTTCTGAGGACGGGTACGGCAGGTGATGCGGACAGACAGCTGTTCTGAGGACGGGTACGGCAGGGCAGGACTTCTCTGACCATTAACTATCAATTGTGTGTTATGCCACGGAAGGGGACACAGAGGTGAAACTTCTACTCTCCAGGAGATTTTTGGAGAAGCACTGCTCTAACGAATTCTATAGAAGAAGTCAGTATAGACCATAAACCACCAAGGGAAGCAGGCATTGGCCATGTGGGAGCACGTGGTGTATCTGCAGGTGTTCTCGGCAGAAGGGAAAGCGCATCCCGGAAGGGCTGACGCTTGAGCTGCATCTCAACGTTCAGCTAGTGCTCATCAGGGGCATTAACAAAGTCTGTACATTTTTTAGGTAAAGGGGTCCATAAAGACAAGTCATATAATGAAAAATATGAAACCAATGAAGAATGCGGCTTTCTTTATGCCACAATTAAAGCAACAACCCAATGAGGTGTTTTAACTTTGGCAGTACAGCCTGTGTATGAAACTTCTGAGGATATGAAGAACACCTTTACAGAGGTGTAGACAAGCCAAGAGGTTACAAACACAGCCCTGGGGCACACGAGTTACCAAGTCAGTGACGATGGCAGTGGAGAAGATGGGACTGTTATGAAGCAGGCCCAACTGACAGATGTCCTCTGAGCAGCTGGCTGCTAAGACAGTAAAATGGAATCCAGTTATTTGTTCATTGAGCAAGCCTAACCAGTTTGCAGAGATCCAGTGTCCATTGTTCAGTAATGACAAACTTAACCACCGATTTAGTTCATCTGCTGTCACAAATCTTCACTGGCCCATGGCCTATGACTCTTAAGCCACCAGAGTTGGCTGGCCCCATACCATGTGCCGGCTCAGCTGAGTTCTCTGGTTATCCCTGTGCTTACATGCCATAAACCTGGAGAGCACCACGGTGGCACTGCTCACTGAGGGAGAAGAAGGATCTCACTGTCACAGAGAATGATGCACAGGAGCCAGGAGACGCGATCTGAGCTCGGATGCACTCGCTGGACAGGCAGAGAGGAGGATGTGAGGTGGCAAGGTGGGCACAATGTCTATGACCACCGCCATGTCCAAAGTGGCCACCTATGGAAGTGGGGTGCCAAGTGACTTGTACTTTCCTTCACAAGCTCTGATCTGCTTGAATTTCGACATGGGTATATGATATTAATTATAGAAATCAGTAATAAACGTTACCTTGTTATGAAAAGGGGAGTCTGAGGGAGAAAAACTATGGTATCAAAGGGAAAAGAAAATTCATCACTAAAGTACCCCAAGTTCTGAAGGGTAAACCTATATTCTGTGCTCTGTTTGAAGAGCTGTGTGCTCCTGGTAGGAGTCCCTTGAGAGATGACATTCTGGCAAACCTGGTATGTTTCAGATCTCATAGAAAGCACTCTATGGCATGTTGCACCATCAAGGTGGGAAGATAATTACAGTGACATCCAACATCCATCAGTGCATTGATGGATAACAGAGTATGCCATGGTAGCCTTACTATTGCCTGCCTTCCCTTCCTCCTCCACTACCCCAGGGTTCACACGGACAGATGAACACCTCTAAGTCCAGAAAGCAGAAGTTGTCTGTTCCTCCTGGGCCTTTACACAGCATTTTTCCTGTTTAAATGCCCGGATTTACTTTTCTGCCCTCCCACATACATGGCTCGATCTCACTGACATGCTTATTCTATTCTGCCTTACATATAACTGCTGCAGTATCACTCCCAGTATTACAGGGTCTGGAAGTACATAGGGACACTAAGTAATACTCGTTAAACTAAAATTGAAATTACTAAAAAGAAGATGAGATGTTTCTAATATGTTTCCCTTTAGGACCAATGTTTTGAGCATAATGACAAGGTTCTAAAACACAAGCTGCAGTAGAAACATTTATGCAGTTAGTTTATAGATTTTCCTTTCCAGCTGGGCAGAACAGGTTCAAGTGCAGAGTGCCAGTCTGTGTCTGTCAGGAGGAAATGTGATACTAGCCTTTTCTTCTCATTTTCATCTTGCTCTGTCTTACGTATTTTTTTAATTATCAAAATGTCAGTGTTCTTATGGCCCTTATTTATTTCATGCTTTAAAATGATCTGTTTGAACACTCTCATTTCCAATGGTGCCCTGCCTACATAATATGCTGCGGCAATCAGTCGTGCTCAGAAGTTATGGGAGTAACTAACCACTATCTGACTGGATTTAAGGCCCACTCCATAATAGAGAACCTGTGCCTGACATTGCCTGGGTGGCCAAGAACCAGGGACTAGACAGGCCTTGGACCTAGGGGGAAAAATCAGATACTACTGTTCTGCTTAGGTAGCAATATAATTATTCCTAACAACATTCTGCTATACCCAGAGATGAGTGTCTTACTCAGCCATCATCAGAGAAGCTTCCTCCTGAAGTCAATGGAATAAATACAGAGACCCATAGCAGACAATATGAGAGTGAGAGACCTTGGAACACCTGTTCTAAATGGGATGTCTCCATCAAATCTCTCTCCTCAGGGTTCAGGGAACCCTGCAGAAATAAGAGCCAGAGGGGATGGAAAACACCAAGGACTGTCTTTCAGACACAACAGGACTGATGCACATATGAACTCAGAGACTCTGGCAGCACGCACAGGGCCTGCACAGGCCTAAGCCAGATGGAGATCCAGCACTGAGAAGAGGAAGATATGACCCCCCATCCCTAACCCAGGAGCTATCTCCAAGTCACAACACTCAGAATGGAAAAGTTAGTTTTCTCCAAAGGAGTCATACTGGGCACCCAAAAAAACACAGCAGATGCTGACACAAAATGAACCCAATGGTAATTTTTAGTTTTTTTTGTCTTACAATGCCTTGTTTGGGCATTTTGTACCTTACTGGTCTTTTGGTTATATACTATGGTTTCCAGTGTGCACCGGAGTGTGTGTATATATATTATGTGTGAGTGTGTACCTCTGCGTGTTTATATATACTTTGGTTTCCAGTTTTGTGTTTGATGGGTTTTCCATGTGTGAGTGTGTGAGTGTGAGTGTGCACCTCTGCGTGTTTATATATACTTTGGTTTCTGGTTTTGCACTTGATTGGTTTTCCATGTGTGAGTGTGTGAGTGTGTGCATGCACCTCTGCACGTGGATGTGCTTCTCCTGCTTTTTTCCCCCCTCTGTTTGTTCTGTTCTGTTTGTTTATTTGACTGGTTTTTAAAGAGAGCGAGAGAAGGCATGAAGTTGGTGGGGAAGTGGGAGGGCTCTAGGAAGAGGTGGAAGAGGGCACATGGTGATCAGAATACACTGTCTGAACAAAACCCATTTTGTTGTTTTTTGAGACAGGGTTTCTCTGTGTAGCCCTGGCTGTCCTAGAACTCCCTCTGTAGATCAGACTGGCCTCAAACTCACAGAGATCCGCCTGCCTCTGCCTCCTGAGTGCTGGAGTTAAAGGCGTGCTGCACCACCTCCCAGCTACAAAAGTCTATTTTCTTTTTTTTTTTTGGTTTTTCGAGACAGGGTTTCTCTGCGTAGTTTTGCGCCTTTCCCGGAGCTCACTTGGTAGCCCAGGCTGGCCTCGAACTCACAGAGATCC